TGGAGAGAATTGATTATCTAGGGTTAGGAAATTTGGTGGGGGTAGGGGTGGGTATATAGAGTAATATAATTTTAAAATATTATTATTAATATCAATTGTAAAATTAATACTTGATTTTTGATTAAAAAAAACCAAAACCTGATTTTTAGAAAGTTAAAACTAAACACCTGGTCTAGTATAATTTCCTCTTGGAATTATACTTCATAGGCTTTTTATAGCCAAGGAATGAAGGTTTAAGTAAATAGCCCGTCTCCATAATTTGGTAGCCCATTTGCAAAGATAGAATAAAGAATATTAAATAAAGTGGAAATTACATGGGCTAAGTTTTTTCAAGATCTCACTTCATAATTAAGAGTTACAAGATATAATTAGAATTCTAAATACTAATAATAATATTATAAAAATGATTTTACATATCCACCCCCACACCATCTACCCTAATTATTTCCAATATCTCTTCTTTCTCTCTTTATACAACCAACTCCTCACTTCTCTCTTCCTATATGCCATATTGGTACTACCAAGCAGGTGCCCACAGTTGATGCAGCACCACCATCATTCGCGGTCATATAAGAGCGGAGCAATCGAGATCTCACCGCAGCACAATCTGAGAGGGTAGTGTTATACCTGTGTTCAAAGCTCTCAAAGTGACAGTGTCATCTCGACAACATGACGCAGCGGTGATGGCTCTGATTAGATCCGACTTCGAAGATATTGGGCTCAAATGGTGCGGTGCTATGGTGGTGATTTTGTGTTTTGCTGTGGTGTGTGTTATTGTGGGTGCTGTGTGTGATGTTTTTGCGACTGTTGGTGTGTGGTGGTGGTTGTGATTTGTGGTTGTTGTGGTGTGTGGCGGTGGTGATATTGGTAGTGGTCGTAGTCATGGTGGTCGTGCGATGGTCATGGGTGGGATGGGGTGTTTGTGACCAATTATGTGGTTGATTGTGATAAATAATTTGGTTAATTTGTAGCCAATAAAGAATATGTGACCTAAAAATGTGATTATAACTAATAATTTATGAAGTTACCAAGAAATAACTTGTGATTAATTAATTTGATAATTATATAAATTGTGACCTATAATTTTTTTTATTTTGTGACTAATAAATAAATTATGACATATAAAATGTTGATTTTTGAATGAGAAATAATTTATGACATATAAGAAAATTTATTTGTGACCAATTAATCTGGTAATTTGTAACCAAATCATATAGAATTGTGAGTTTAATATATTAATTAATAAGATATGTTTTTAATTAATTATTTCATAAATAAAATTTAATAATATCTTATTTTTGAAGTTTTAAACCTTGTTTCTTAATTTTGAAATGGGTAATAGTTAATTTCTTAGATACGAAATTTTCCATTAAATAAATAACTTGGATGATTAAACGGGCTCGACCA